AATACAGACGAGCTGGTATTGGTCATGCTGGGAGAAGCAGGAACACTTGTGGTGCTCCGGGCGAGCCCTTGGCGCTCTGGCAGGCCCCGGAGAGCAAGCAGAGCCTGTGGATCCTCAGCCCTTCACTTCACTGCCTGGTCCTGAGCAGCGAGAAAATGTTGGGACCAGGACTCGGAGGCGAGGGGCTGGCGAGGCACTGGGAGATAATGCCGGTGCGACGGACTGCTGGCATTGGTTCGGTCGAGATATGGCTGAGCTCGAAGCTTCCCACTGCTGGCAATTGGCATGCAGGGGAGATGTCATGGAAGAGGCTGGGCCCGCGCTGGTACCTCTGGGGACACCAGCCTGCCCCGTGGGGCTGGCACCGACCGGGGACCATGGCACAGGGCCTGGCTGCATGGCAGAACCATCCGTAACTGTGCCAGGGAGAGGTCAGCTGCCTGGTTTTGGAGGGATCCCCTTGACTTGCCGCCTGGGGTACACCATGCTTGGCTCTTTGTGCCAGTCTGCTGGCACCCAGGCGGGATGGGGGGCCAGCCTGGCGGCAGGGGACCGCAGCACGGCGCTTGGCAGCCCTCGCTGAAACCACATGCTGTGTTTTCCATCATTCATACGGATGTTCTCCAGCTGGAAGCAGGAGGATGAGGTCGGGCTTTGCTGGGTTCTGCTCATCCTGGGGTCTTGGAGCGCCCAATGAAGTAATGTTGGGATGGTGCCCATGCTGGCAGTGTGTGAAGGGCTGGCTCTTCATCCGCGCCTCTCCGGAGTTTCCTTCTCACGGTGGCCTCTTGTCACCCGCCTCCTCGCAGGCTGTCCCCAAAGCCTTGGTGCAGGTGGTGGAGCTGGTGGACAACTGGGTACGGTGGTCCTGGGGAGCAGCCCTGCCCAGGGGGAGCATCGGTGCGGCCCTGCAGGCGGCCGATGATTGCGTGGGTGGCTCGGATGCAGGAAAGTCACTGGGGAATGTTGCGTCCAGTCTTACAGACCAGTTTGGAAGCCTGACTGGTGGTTCTGGAGAGAGTAATTCCAACGTGGGAGTGAGGCGGGAGGCTTCAGAGAGACCTTGTGCTGGGGCTCAGGGAGGATCCTGTCCCCCTGTCAAGGCTTCCCTTCCTCCCCAGGAGGCTGAGGAGCACGTGGCGAGGAGCCAACTGCTGCGGCAAGCCCTGCTCGGAGCCTGGGCACGGAGAGGGG